AGAAAGACACACAGAAACCTTGAAAGGAGGATTTGTTCAGGGCAAGAATAACTAAAATATTTACTAATGAGAGGGAGAAGAGAAAGTAATTTAAAAGATTTAAAATAGTTTTGTGTGGTTTTTTTTTTTATTCATGCTTCCTTTCATTTTCATTACATACTTCAATATTTGCCTACTTTTCCAGCAAAAGATTTACCTCAAGTGCGTACAAATTATCTGGCATTTGGTTAAGGACAATATGTCTAATTATGTCTCTAAAGACCTGAAATATTTTTAACTTAAGCTAAAAGTCAAACCAAAAAAAAAAAGAGTAAAATTAATAATCCTTTTAAAATTCATAAAGGGTAAAATTAATAATCCTTTTAAAATTCATTCCCATGATCGTAGCTGTACAGAACACCTCAATGCCAAAGATTAAACCAAGGGAAATATGAGAGCAGGGAGGAAAAAGAGAGAGAAAATAGAATTTCCCACATTATGCCCTGATTTAACCTCCTCTGGAGACTTGGGAAACCTTGTGTTAAATGATCTGGTTTTGGGTGATGTCTGTCCCACACCTTCTGACTCCTGCTCTGCCAGGGAGCCTGCACCTGCCTGGGGAGCCAAGCCCTCCAAGCTCTGCACTGCTAATGAGGTTCAAACTGTGGTGATAAATATCTATTTAGTAAATATAGTAAATATAATATAGTAAATAGATATTCACTGTACCTCCTCATCCCTGCTTCCCCTCAACCTGAGTAACTAATGAAACTCAATTGAGCATATTAATTATTTTCCCCAGGGGGTGAGGAGGAGGAAGGATGAGCAGCACCATCTCCAGAGGGTTGCCTGTGCTCCAGCAATTCATCTGTGGTTTGGAGGGCAGAGTGACCCATCCTCAGGAAGACACAGAGATTGCAGGTGTGCTAATTTCCTGAAGAAGAAAGGCACTGCCAAATAAAGAACAGATGGATCCAGTCACTAGTTATTTATTTCTATAATTAGTTGCAAGCTGTGGTCTCGGAACTTTAAGAAACTGCGGATTTCTATGAAATTCCTTCCTGCATTGGCATGGTGGAAGCTGGGCTGGGCTCTGGCAAAGGCAGTTTGCAGGCTGTACCAGCTGGACACAAAGTGCCTTGGGCTCCTTAAAGCATGATCCAAATCTTTTCTCTGGCTGTTGTAGCCCATAAGAACATCAAGGACAGGTTGGTCTTGTAATGTAGAGGGGCATTTAAATCTGACTTAAACTCAGTTCTGCTTTCATCTTATGATGCTTCTCCCCCATCAACCTAATTGTCTTCAGTTATTACCCCAGCCTTGCCCTCTTCTCTTCTCTTCTCTTCTCTTCTCTTCTCTTCTCTTCTCTTCTCTTCTCTTCTCTTCTCTTCTCTCCTCTCCTCTCCTCTCCTCTCCTCTCCTCTCCCTTTCCTCTCACCAGGGTGACACTCAGACTCCTTTTAAGCAGTCAGGAGCAGTGAGGACTCACTCTGGAGTCTGATTTTGGTGCAGGCTGTGCTCAGGCTCAGCTCTGATAACCTGGTGTGTGTTGTTACAGTCCTCTTATCTCTTCTCCCAGAGCCTGGCCTTGCCAACCCCAGCCATATCCTTAAGCCAATCTGTTCTCAAAGGTGGGATCAACAGATCAGGGAGGAATATTTTATTTCCTTCTGAAAGCATCAGGTAGGAAAGGCATTTGCCAGCTCATCTAGGCATGTCTATTCTGGTTTTATTTTATTTTTTTTTAGATGAAAGCTGCTAAGCTGGAATTGTTAGAAAATGCAGGTCTGCAAGACAGTGGGTGAATAAATAATTTGTTGGGTCTGTTGTAAATGTGCCAAAAGCATCTCATGACAATACTTTTTAATGACACAGGAGTCAATAAATAGCAAAAGACTTATGGGACAGATTTATCTATGCAAAACTTTTGTGCTTTTGACTTTAAAAAGATGTGTTCTTTATTTTTGTTTGAATGGCTTCACACAAACAAATATTAGAATAGAATTTGTTTCTCAGCTATTTAACAATATTAACAAAACAACCCCAAACCCAGAAACACTCCAACTTAAACCTGAAGAAAATTATCTGCCTCTATGGGAAAGAAACTAATGAAATCCAATCAAATCTCAGCTGGAAGAACAAAGAATGGTGGCTTTGGGCATAAATCAGACGTGGAATTAATTTTGTTCTTTATTACATGCTTTAAAAATAAAAAGAGGGCACCCTACCCCCGGGAGTGCTGAGCAGATTGAAATGATGTCCAGAGCCTTCCAGTTCCAGAGTTCAGGCAAACAAAACCGGTTCAAAATCAATATGAATCCTACTGGTGATAAAAATCCCCCAAAAGCACAGAGGGCACAGAATCTTTCTCATTTATCAGTTTCCAGGGTGGGAAGAGGGATATGTGGGATACAGAAGGGACCAGGTGAGGATGATTCAGGGTTTCCCTGGGGTCATGAGGTGCATTTTGCCGGGCACATCTACATCTTAAAAATGCAGCTGTCCCCCAGGAATCACTGGAGTGGACCAGGATTTTATCCCAGCACCACAGACATGTGATGGAAATGCCAAAACCCCCGTGGAAATGGAGCTGGAACCTGGGCACAGCTGAAGGTTCACACTGCTCTTCTCTAGGCAGAACTGTCCTTGTGATGTTTCTGTTCTCAGACTAAACAGTGATGATCCCTGCTTTGCACCTGCCCAAAATTCCTCCTAAATTCATTATTGGGAGCCCACTGTGATCAACATGTGGGAAAAGAGTCTCACTGCAATTCTTCTTTTTGCTGGGTCTTCATTTTCTGTCATCACAAAAAGCAGCACAGAGCTCCATTTGGAATTTTTAGCCCAGTTTTTTTTTTCCTAGCTTGCAATAAAAATTTTAATTAGACATTTATTATAGATGAGGAAATCCTAAAAAAAAGCTACAAAGTGAAAAAGCACTGAAATGTTAATATTTCCATTGCAACTACTTCCACTTTTGAAAAATTAAAGGAAAAAAAATCAAACTCAACAAACCAAAACAGCACCAAAATAAATTAAATATGTTGTTTTGATTTCCTGAATGTCCCTGAAATGTTTCAGTACAGTTCAGTATTAAACATCTCTTTGTCCTTGCTGGAGTTGTAGAATCCCAGCTTGCTGCAAAAATAGAATTCCAAAGAATATCCAAAACATATCCTGGAGTGCTGCAATGAGCCTGATACACTGTGAATCACAAGCACAAGAGGAATTCCTCTCCAGAGATCTTAGCTGGAGAAGAAGTGTCCAGCTCCCAATTTTTTATGAGGCAGTGTTTAGTGTGTCATAACTAAAATACATTCATTGTTTTGTTTGACTGCTTTCAAGCAAAGCATTTAGAAGATTGAAACATTCAAGCCATGGTTCTATTTTTAATCAGTCTTTTTTTTCTGGCTGAAAGTTTATTCTGCATGTTGATTTTTCCAAATAAACAAACCAACTCCAGCAAATGTAAATTTTTCCTTTGAGGAACTGCATTTCCCATTGTGTATTTCCAATCCATCCCAATGGAAAGTGCCTGAATAATTCAATAATACATAAAGAAGGTAAAGAGATGGAAGTGAAGCCTGAATGCTATTTGGCCAAAGCCCAGAATTAGGCTAGGAGGAGAAAGATGAGCGTGGAGTGATGTAAACCCCCTTAAGTGAGGCCTAATGATTCACAAATGCCATGAAATGCATAGGTGGAGTCATTTGTATCCCACACGCAGGCAGCGAGGGATTTGAAAAGTGCAGCAAGAGAATTATTGGCCTAATCAGAAAAAAAGCCAAACTCAGCTCTGTTTTATTTCACATGGCTCTGGTGGAATGTGGCAGGAGCTAGGAGTCATCCTGGGGTGACCCTGACTTCTCCCAGGAGCTATGGGGCTGGAGGCTGCTGGCTGTCCTCCTGGGCAGGAGGGGATTTAAAGGTAAAATCACTTTTGAGGCTGTCATCAGCTTTGGGGGTTTAATTGTGGGTTAGGACAGGAAGGAGAAGTTTTGCTCCTGGGAGAAACTTCTGTACCATGATCCCACTGGGATGCAGAGACAAGGGGGACAAGGACGTGGGACAATGCACAGGCACTGCTTGATTTCCTTCCTTCCTTCCTTCCTTCCGGAATTCTCCCCACTTTTCATTCTAAATTAATTTTCTGAGACAAGGAGAAGATGTTGCCTTAGCTTTGTCCTTGGGAGTCGCAGATCTTGATTGAAGGAATAATTTTACACCTAAATGTGCAGGTTCTGGCCGGTTTTTGACAGGTGTGCCGCTTCCCATGGCCCCCAGTCAATCTCTCCCCCTCTCTGCTTTGCCCTCTGATTGTGCCCTGCTAAATATCTCTGTGCTTGTGCCTCCCCAGGAGGTCAGAGCTGCTCTGTAACCACCTCACCTGTCAGCAGCCAGCTCTCCCAGCTCTGCAGTGGGTGAGAGAGTCACAAAATCCTGAGCAGGTAGAGAAGAACTTGGGGAAACTTCTTAAAATCTGCCCCAGGAGAGAGACAGCAAGAACAGAGCAGTAGTCACTGAGAGCTCCTGGACATTTCCTGCCAATGTTGCCAAGAGCAGGCTCTGAAAATGCCACTGCCAGGGGGGTCTCTCTGAGCCTCACCCCAAAAAATCCTCCACAACACAAAGAGAAAGCTGGAAAATGAAACTGCTGTGATTTCTTCACTTCTAAGCAAGGCACAGGTGCATAAAGTTGTTATTTACTGGGAATAAAAGCTCGCCCCTGACTAATTCTTGAGGAGGTGAGAGGGACCATGGGCAGAAGTGGCTCACAGGGAAAATCTCGTGGGAGTAAATGTAAAGGACAAGACCAATGTGTCACCATTATCATATAACTGCCATGAAGTGGAACCATCCAAATTACTTCAGGCAAAACCTGGAGATGTGACATCAGCTTTGTCACCTGCTTAATCTGAGACAGAGCAGGTGGAGGTGAGACCAAGGTCATCATTTATCTTAACAAGGGAACTCTGAGCTGAGCTGCACAAACACATAACCCCCTCTCTGCCTCTCTGGCAGCTCTTGAGAGGCAGCTCTGCCAGCACTGAAGCTCATGTGTCAGTGGAGGAACACTGTTATCTTCTTATCAGGAGATGACAACCACAAATACCTCGGCCTGAAAGACTGCTCTGCTATCACCAGGGGTGAGCATCAACCTGCTTCACAAATAATCTAATTTAGGGGGATAACAGAGGACTTGGATGTGGGAGGTGGAATTCAGAGCCCTGTGAACAGGACAGGCATTTCTCACATGAATGCAAACCTGGTGCAGTGAAAACACACAAACTTTTTGGCTCTGTTTGTGATTGAGGCAGGGAGGGAATAGGTCATCAAGCTGGTTCGTATGCAAGAGATACATTAATCATTAATGGGGTATTAGTATTTAAAGTCCCCAGATCTCCCTCTAACATGCAAAATAATCCCTCCTGCCATGGATGGTTTGTTTCAATGAGTAATCCACTCATCCTGTGCTATAATCACAACAGGCACAACTTCCACAGGGACTTTTCAGTGTCAACAGACTTTGGACTGTGATGTCTTTGAGAGAGAGAATTGTCTTTTTGCTGTGTTTGTGTATCTCCAGGTAAGCTGGGGAGGGGCAGCTTTTAGAAATCCCATGCACTGAGTAACTGCAGTTAGTCACTCCTCCATCCTCCTCTCTCCCTGGAGCATTCCATGTCCTTGTGTCTCTCCCAGACACATTTAAAAGAACAATTTTTCTTGTGACAAGTAAAGCAAGAAGTGTGAGCTGGTGTCTGACAGGTTCAGGGAGAAGCTCACAATGAGGCAATTAGACATGGAAAGTGCTGATTAGAAGCACCATCACCCATAGCAAGGAAAGAAAAAAAAATCCCAAGTAGCAGGAGGAAAAGGGAAATGGGGAAGAAAAAAAAAAGAAGCATTTGATAAAACAGGTTGGTATAAAAAGTTTGTGACTGACGAGGTCTGATGCCAGGCTCTAGGATTGCTTCAACCTGCTCTGGAGGGAGCTGGGCTTGGTTACCCCTGGAGACAGGTGGCTGCCCTCGATGGGAAAAAAGGTTTAACAGCTTTTCATTGCCATGCTGGGCTTGCCAGTCATCAGCTCCCCTGAGAGCTCCCCTCTAGCCCAGCCCAGAGCTATTCCTGCAGCCCTTCCTCTCCCTCACCCCTGCCCCTAGCAGCAGCGGCAGGGACCCTGCTCTCCAGTGGTCCCAGCCAGCCCAGGGTCCTGCTGGAGTCACACAGGAGGTGTTCTTTGGAGGATCGTGGAAAATCAAGGAGGTAAAACACTTCATGCAAATCCACTCTGTGTCTCTTTGACTGCCATGGGTTGGGCAAAGGGAACTGTGACTGTCCTGTCACCGTGGCTGTGCTGCAAGTCATCAAAGGGTAGAGATAGCCCTGGGAAGGGGCAGAGGGCTGGGGAGTGCAGCCAGTGTGGCTCCAGACATCCTGATTTCAAGGAGGGTCTTTTAAAAAGGTTCTTGCACATCCTGTAATCCTCCCTGAGGAGGAAGGGAGGGAGGGGAGGAAATAAAACCACCCAGACCTTCACTCAACCATTCTTTTTTGAAACAGGCATTCCCCATTTTGGTCTCTCTGGTGATTTTTAGCAAACAGCTGCAGCATGAGCCTGGTGAAACCATCCCAGGGAAGGTAGAACAGGCTGCAGAGCATCCAGATCAGATATATGTGCAGCTGGATCTGCCTCGTAGAGTGGTGACAACAAGCAGTAAAATATGAACACCATCGCAGTAATAATATCATTATAAAATGCATTCATCTCCAGGGCTGTCACTGCACTGGAGGGCCTGGCTCCAGCAGATTCCAGCCCAGCCTGGCTCCAGGGGCAGGGATCCTCTGATCTCCAGGAGCTGGCTGCACAGGGGTCTTGGTGACTCATGATGGACCACAAGACAAAAGGCACCTGTTCTGTGTGAGCTGTATGTAAAATAAATGAAGCAATATTGCATCTTCCAGGACCTAAGGGAGCCCTAAAGAAACGTGGAGAGGAACTATTTACAAGGGATGCAGTGACAGGACAGGGGGAAATGGCTTCAAACTAACAGAATGGGCTTGGATTGGATATTGGGAAGAAATTTTTTCTTGTGAGGGTGGGCAGGCCCTGGCACAGGGTGCCCAGAGCAGCTGTGGCTGCCCCTGGATCCCTGGCAGTGCCCAAGGCCAGGCTGGACAGGGCTTGGAGCATCCTGGGATAGTGGAAATGTCCCTGCCCATGGCAGGGATGGGATGGGATGAGCTTTGAAGTTCCTTCCAACCCAAACTGTGATTCCATGATCTAACTTATTAGTCATTACCCAATTCTCACCATTTTGTCATGCAATATTCCCAACCCTTGCTGGCTACTTGGGAAGAGACCTTTGGAGCTTGACCATTTAGGTGCTCATGGTAAGCCAGGGCTGGGAAGAGCAGCACACAACAGCCTCTCAAGGACCCAGTAAGAAAGTGCTCTGCCTCTTATGGAATTTAGGTGAACGGACTGTAATTACCCAAATATTTATGTGTTCTCTTTATTGTATGAGTCACTGAGGGCTTGTGAGGGGGCAGACAATTTCCATTTTGTTTAGGGCAGAAATATCCCTGGAGACCAAGCTGATCTATGGAGCTGCCATATCAAAACCTCCTAGGAAAGAAAAAAAAAAAAAAAAAAGATAATGCATTTATTAGTCAGCTCACATTGGACTGCTGTGTGTAGAAAAGGAGAGAACTGAACTGAAAAATGCTTTTAAAACCACAATTCCATAAGCATCTGTCTCATTTCAAGTACGGCTGGGGCCTTTCTGTCTCCTGAAAGGAAAGGAGAGGGTGAATTCAAATGATCTGTAGCTCTGGAGTGCTGAAGGGGAAAAAAAGTAATTTCCAAATAGAACTGCATCCCTGCAGACAGTGACCAGGCACAGATAACCTCCTCCAGGGAGCCACACTTCCCCCAGAGTCCCTCCCCAAATGACTCGCTCTGCGCTCCCTCTGCTCTCCCTGAGGCTGAGATCAGAGCTGTAGGAACTGACCAGAAAAGAAACAACAATTCTTGGCCATCAGACACGTGGAGAAAGAGGGGGAAAGGAGAAGGTGGGTGAGTGCTGTTTGTCCCTATGCATGTCCTGTTTGCTGCATTTTAGCCACCAGTCACCTTCCCCATGAGTGCTGAGGTTTCTGCAGGACACCCTGACCCACAGAGCACATGAGGGGAGCTGTGCTGGAGCCCAGCATCAGCAGGGCATGGAGGCACAGGCAGTGGAAATGCTCTTTGCCATGCTGGAACCTGTGCAAGGCTGTGCTTTGGGCAGGGGTGCAGAAATCCCATGTGGCTGGGGACATGGCTGTTCCCACTCCACAGCTCCTGTGTCTGTGCATCTGTGAAAAGGAAGGGACTGAGGGCAAAGAGGAGGCACAGAGAAGGCAGGAGCAGAGGCTGCCCTGAGAATTCCTCCTTGTCCTTTGGATCAGCACAGCATCTCAGAGTCTTTGTCCCCAGTGGAGCAGTGCCTGCCCTGAGCTGCTGCCAGGGATGGTGGAGGGCAGTCCTGTTCCACACAAAGGCTCTGCTAAGCTTGTTCCTCATCAGGGAGTAGAAGCCCAGCCTTGTGTGAGGCCACAGCTCAGGTCAGGCTCCTTCTGCCATGGAGCATCCTCAGGCCGGGGCTGTCACCCCTCAGCTCTGCTGTCCCCAGCCTGGGTGGCCCTGGGAGGGCAGGGGAGGAGGAGGAGCAGGCAGGGCACACCACGGTGCCAGCAGGACCTGCGTGGGTGAGGCACAGCGAGTCTGGTGCTGTTGAATCTGAGGATCAACATGAGAAGGAAATGGAGAATAAAGAGCAGTAAATGAGCTGGATTAGAGGAGCTGTTTTACATAGCCCTTCATTTAATCCTTTGCTTTCCTTTCATTGTTTAATTGGTTTAGCTCTTGTACTTTTAATGCTGCAGGCAGAGAGAGCCAACCTCCTCTTTCCTTCTCTTTTCCTGCCTTTGCTTTCCTCTCTTTACATCTCACTATCTAATCCCATTTCTCTCTTTCTCCCTCCATTTCTGTCTCTATCCCTTGTTCTCATTCCTCCAGCTTCTTTCTCTCTCTCTTCAGGCCCCATATTACTCAAGCAGCTTTTGTTCGTGCTGTCAACTGCATCAGCCTGTAAGTGAAATTGTACTGTAAGTGAAGTTAAAAGTATTTCTATGGTGGGATATTTAATCATTTGAATCCTTGATAGGAGCAGCTCTTTTTATTTTCACTAGCTATAAATCCAGGCTCTATCTAATCTCTGATCTCGACGAGGAGAGAATTAACCAACGGAGTGTGTGACTAGAAAGGAGAAGGCTGGAGAGAAGGGACCACTTTATCTGAGTGTGGAGTGGAGCAGCATAGGAATAAGGCAAGGAGCCATTCCCAGCTCCCTGCCATTCTTCTCACTGCCTTTCCCTGATTCTACCTTCGTTGCCCTCCCCAGACACTCCAGCATATTGAAAATGCCATTTTCCATTTGCAGCTTTCTTTCCCCCCTTCAGTGAGTCACTCAGCCCATGGTGGTGGGGAGGACTGCAGAGCCCTGGATTTTAGTCCATCCCCAGCTTGCACTGCTCTGGATTGGAATGGCTCCAGGTGTGGATGGCACCTGTGGGATCAACCCCACCTCGAGGGGACCTGTGCCAAATTTGGGATATGGAGGTGACCCTTCCTCTGCTCTGCCCCAGGAGCTGCCTGTACAAATGGATTGTTCACCTTTTCCTCTTCACCTGGCTCTGCTTACAGCAGGTAAGAACCTCCCATGCTGTCACCTCTCCAAAGCACAGGGCCAAGGGCCTTTCTTCAGACACATCCCCAGGACTCCTCTGTGCAGTGAAGCCACCCATCCTGCTGCTCTAAGTTCAATCTTTTTATGTAAAGCTCTGGATGAAGGTCATCTATCGACATCTTCCCTTCTTTAGCCCTTTGTTTCCCCTCCAGGTGTGTGGGGTGAGCCCTACAGCTCATTCCCTTTTCCATAATTCTGTTGCTGGTACACAGCACATCTCCATCAGCTAAGGAGAAGAATGGGGAGATGATCAGAAATGTTCTGACTGATCTGTGACTCTCTTATTTTTCCTCAGAATGTGGTGATTTGGTGAAAGCAAAACATTCTGCTGAGATGTGAAAATTGCAATGGAGCTCTTGACAGACCTGAATCATCTCTGGAAATTTTCCTGCTGCTTTACAGATTTCCTCATACAGGTTATGAGGAAAAAGGAAATGTCCACAACTGTTGGAATCTGCTAGGAGAGAGGGAAGTTCAGTGGCAGGATTGCATCCAGATCTTCTGGGAGAACTCCATATTTCTGTCTCCTTAGGGCTGAGATTAGACCACCAAGGGAAGGCAGCAGCCATGTACGTCAAGGCAGGCATGAAACACAGAATCCCAGAATCCCACAATGGTTTGGGTTGGAAGGGTCCTTAAAAATCATCTCATTCCACCCCTGCCACGGCAGGGACACCTCCCACTGTCCCAGGCTGCTCCAAGCCCTGTCCAGCCTGGCCTTGGGCACTGCCAGGGATCCAGGGGCAGCCACAGCTGCTCTGGGAACAGTAGGAAAAGGTGTGGGGATCCTGGGTGGGGCTTCCATACATTGCCTAAGCCTTGCCAACAATTTCAGCTCTCTTAAACCCCCAGTCCAAGAGCTCTAAGCAGAGAGCTGCAGTCTGATTGCACTCCATTAGGGCATCAATATTTACCTTGAGAATTCGCCTGAAGGATGAAAAGTGCTACAGGTGCTCAACATCTTGGCTGCATTTCCTTGCAGGAAAAATCCAGGCTACCCTTTCTCCTCCTCCCTCTCACTTGCAATTCTCCAGCACTTCTCTTTTATGTCTGTGGCCTGCTTGTTTGCAAAGTCACCACGGGAATTATGGCTTGCCAAGGAAATGCAGGAATTCTGATGATTCCAGGGTGAGGCCTCCCCTCCTCCTCACTTTCTGGAGGTGCTGGGAGCCATGGCTGGTGCTGGGCAGTGCTCTGCAGAAGTGGACAATCAGTCACTGTCACTGGGAGGGGAGGAAGCAGGGGGGATGCCGAGTTTGCCCAGAGTCCTGGTTGCACAGTGAGATTCACACAGCTGTGCTGCTCCCAGTGTAAGCACGGACAGCCCCATTCATCACCGGCCTCCCTTCCTCAGCACACGTCCAGGGGAGAGGGATGATTTAGTGCCTGCAGCTGGAACAAGCACTAAGTTTCTCTAAAACAGCAACATTTAAGAATTGGGGATGTTTTGCATGTGTGTTTTGTGGTTCTGGGCAGAAGGGAGGAGGAAATGCCAGGAGCTGGGAGCTGCAGAAGAGGGCAGGCCTTGCAGGGAATCAAAAGATTTCTGCTCCTCTCACATCTTCCACTCACAGAGATCTACATAACACTGGCCCTGAGGATGCTCAGTTGTGGAGCAGGGTCACCCCAGGATGCTTGCAATCTATGGGAGAGGGGTCTCAGGAAAAAGAATAATTGAAGGGGATTGAGGAACAGGAGCATGGATGGAACTGATCAACAAGCATGGAAGAATGCACTGAGGCTGAGGAGTGAGGGGCAATGATCCCAGGAAATGAGGAGTGCTGGACACCTCCCCTGGGACCCATCCCTGCCCCCAGTTTCCCTCCGTCAGTGGTTTCCTCAGTCTTCGCTGCCAAAGGGGCTCCTTCTCCTCACAGCAGAGATGTCAGAATCCCGAGGGATGGGAA